CACACACACACACACACACACACACACACAAAACATACACATACAGAGACGCACACATACACACACAAATATTTTACATTTTACATTTCTTCTGCTCTTTATGCTAAAGTCAGTCTTAATCTACAGTAAGTATTTTCTGGATAAGCGTTTTTTGCTCTGCGCCCTCACTGTAATTAAGGTGTTTGATAGATGTTCTCCTTTGATTTGTAATTTATAACAACAGATTTCCAGCTGCTCTGTCCCAACAGACGAGGGATTTTCCTTTCCACCCAATGTCGCTGTTAGATTCGACATTAATTGTGTCTTATTTCCTTATTCCTGATTTCTCACTTGGATTTTCGCCTTATCACGTGTTTGACAGTAGAATATTCGCCTCACTGACCCACTGGGAACCTCACATTTCTGATATATAATTATAATTTATGCCATCCGTTTTTATCTGGACATTGCTGTCCATTTATTTGTACATTATTCCGTGATTGATTTTAAGTGATTGAAGTGTGATTGTCAGATGAAATGATTGATAGTGCACTCTTCTTCTTAACATCTACTCAGCTGGGCGGTCGGTGGATGTTCTGAAACAGAAAATACGACAAAAGAGATAGAAGAAGTATGCTTCTTTGGTGTAAAAACAAATCTGGGTTCTTTATAAATTCGCCCCCCCCCTTCCCCCGTTTTGGATATTCCTTGACCCCACTCTCCTTTGGGTCATATTTAGGTCGTCAGTGAGGTCACACGCAAAAATGTGTTTTTGTTAATTTACGAATGCGGGTCCAAATCAACTTGGATAAAAATCTGACCGCTTTGAAACATTTTGCAACAGATTTCTTGCTTTGGGGATTTTCAGTATTTTTTTTAAAGGAAAGAAGGGGGAGGGGGGGGGGGCTTTTTCCTTTTCGAGTGCTCTGAGAGTCAATACTTTGACAACTTGGATTGTTTTTAATGTTTTACTCAAACATCAACACAATTTATGTGATTTATGAGATACGTTGCTTCCCCCCTGCCTGTCAGGGCCCACCTTTTTATGTATGTGTTTTTACGCCCACATCGACACAATGTTAGATAAAATAGGGCGTGGCCTTCCAGTCCAGTCTACTAAGGCCAACTCGGTCTGAGAGACATATATATATATAAATTTCCCAGCAGAAAGACTGAGATGCTCGATAATGATTTCTCCCCACTTGAGAATCGAACTCGGGTCTCCTGCGTGCGACAGTGAAAGCCTAACTAACCCGCTAGACCACAGACGCCGGTAGGACTAATCCTGGTTGAATGGGTTCCCACACCACAATGCTAATGAGGGTTGTTCCGAGATTATCGTCAACATTCCAGCACCATCTGCTATTACCCAGTGCCCGTTGGAGGTTCGGTTGGGGTCGTATTCTGGTGGTTTCAGTGCACACTACAAAATAATTCCCTGCCACGATGACCGGAAACAGTTGCGGCAGGGGATAGAATTCTACTTTGTAAACGAACGTTATCAAAATAAGAACACTTGCCGTTCACAAGAAAGCCACACCCTTGAACGATGGCTTCCAGGGGCTCTTTTCTGCGTAGATCTAGATTCTATCACGGTTTGAATGTTGCGGTAGTCTAGAACACGGGGAGGATCTATAGGTATCTCAGTGATCTTCTCAAGATCGACGGAGTCCATTTTGTTACGTTATGAATAAAATTGTAATTTGTTATGACATTTCTCGCTAAAAGGCCTGACCTTGACATTGCAGTGTCGCGATGGTCATGTGACTCATACGTTATAAAGCCTTGTTGTAATTGGCTGTACATAAACCGATCGTCCGATTCACGGCCTCTTTTTTTTGGGGGGGGGGGGTAAAGAGAAGCCTTGCTGGAAACTTCCAGAAGCCCATACAATCTCTCAAAAGGAAATGTGGCGTCCATTTCAAGAATAAGACGGAGATACCCCAGGGAGACACTACAAGTCCAGAACATCGTGCTATTGGTAAAAGAGGTCAACTAATCATTACCATACACCGCGAGCCCATCAAGAAGTTATGTGATTCATACAGCTAGGTGGATCATAGTGCCAAATGAGCCAAGATACGATAGAAGAGGTAGTTACAACAGCTAACATATCTCATGGGAAATCATGAAAGGCACAGGACGATCGAGCAGATGTTGATGGAGTAATTCGTTCGTAGTCAGTTTGTGAATTTGTAAATAATGAGTCTACTAAATTAGTACGCTTATTTTTAAGTTTGCGCGTAAGAGTC